ATTACTATGGTTAACATATGTGTATACGTGCGTGCGTGCTTTGCACGCGGCGCGAAAAATGCGGACCCATGCTCTCTGGCGGCATCGTGTGTCGGGGAGAGAATACATGAATTTTTCCGGAAGATAGCCGGAACGTGTAGTTTCGCGTGAAAGATCCGGGATACAAGGTGCAACTTCGAATTTAAGAGCGCAACTTCGGGGATGCCGGTGTTCATAATTACACAGATAGTGTACACGATGTATATTGCGCATGGAACCCTCCATAACGCCGTAACCCTGAAACGGCCTAAGCCTTAATCCCTATACCTAACCCTAACCCTAACAACAGAAAAAGTAAAATAATAATTAAAAATATATATCTACAGAGTGGGATTCGAGCAGACGAACCTCTTCAGGACGTGGAACGCCGGCGTGACGCAGCTCAGGTATGTCAGGCGATTAGTGTGAAGAAGTAGCCAGACGATGCACAGCAATATGCTAAATAATGAATAGCAAGTTTACCGGGCAGAGGGGCCCGTTGCAAGAACTGCTCGTAAATTACATTGAAGTTGTAAAGAGCTAATGTTATGTTATAGACGAAGAAGTAATAGCGCGTTGAACGAGAGAACCTATCGTGAACCTAAACTTATCTTAGGTGAAAACTGTTACGGATAATCAGCAATTCAACAAGGCTGCTGATTGTGATGCGCACGATCACGAAAAAGTCAAATTCATACACATTTATTGTAATTACAGTCATGTTGTGGCATATTATGATGGCCAACACATTATAAATAATATTGATGAAAAACGCCACGGTCTTGAATTATTCTGTCAGCGAACAAGCACTAAAATTCTCTACACTGTAGCAAATCTCACGAACGCGAGAGTCGTGTGGCTCAGTGCACATAGGTGATAAGGGTCAGTGCAAAAGTATTTAAAACAAAAGAACAATCCTATAGCGACCTTTGTAAATGTCTTTGCACTAACCTTATTGTTATGGCTTCACATCGGTAAGATAATTAATTGTTTTTGCACATGTTGTTTCAGAGGAAAAAACATGAATATATACTCATTACATATAAGAAGATATAATATCACTAAAGATCTGTAATTCTATGTCCTAAATGTATTATTTCCATCTTAATATTAAGTTAATTTGGAGGGTCTAGGGATATCTTAAGTTAAGAGAAAAGTTCAGCGAGAAATTTTTCAATTCTCTGCAACTTGTATTCGAATTTTCGTCAGACGCCTAAGAGAAAAAGTTAATGTTGAGGTTAATGTTAAAGACGAAGTTTGTTTCTGACAACGGGCCGCCTTGTATGGTGAAAATGTGTATTTCTCCCCGTGGTGCAAGAATGTCTCGATCTGGAGGCACCCGGCAGTTAGAAAAGAATGCGAATAGTGGAATGAACTACTAGGCACTTAGGATATGCACTAAGCTTAGGCCCACTTAAAAAAAAAAAACCCTAACCCTAACCCTAACCTAACCTAAACCTCAACCTAAACCCTAAACTAACCCTAAAAAAAAAAAAAAAGAAAAATTAGTAGTCATATCATATCGCATCTAACTGCCCGGTTGCCATCTCTGCGCGCGTACGCGGACGGTTCGGAGCGCGCCGAAGGCGGGCGATTTGGGGCGGAAGTTATCGCATGGCATCGCCCCCGCGGCTATTCCGCCAGTCAAGGAAGGTCAAGCGGATCACGGACATTACTGCTCCGTTAGCCGTTACAGAAATGAGCATGTTACTCTTGGGCACGGCGGTGGCCTCCAGAGTATTCCTGTCGCAGAGTAGAGCCTCGACAACGTGTTTTATCTGATGGTCAGATGCAAGTGTTAAGCGTTAGGACGCGCGGGTAGTTGTCATGGGTTAGATATGTAGTGTCACTATAGCCACCCGGAGTCGCTGCGTGGAAGCATCGCACCGGGGAGGTCAATGTACTGCGCTAAAAAGATACGTGGAGCATAGATGTGCCTATGCCTACAATGCTCGATGTTATTATAAGCTACTAGTTAGCTGGTTACGTGTTCATATACATATTTGTTCGCATTTGTGCGCGTAAGCGAATTTCCGCGAGGTAATTATCCAGCCGGCTAAACTCAATGGAATGGCTTATGCAGAAGTTTTCGCAGCACACGTATATTTCAAGACTTTAGTTAACATCAGCGCGTTAATAAGTAAACAAGACTGGAATGGAAGCGAACACTTTACGTAGAAAGAGAAACAAAAGATCCAAGTCATTGTAGGCTTGTTGGGCTTCTTTCCTCTCTCACCGCACCACTGCGACAACTCCCTTCGCTTCTCGTCTCGGCTCGCTCTGCTCTCTGCTCTCTCCGCTTCTGCGGTCTCTCATTGCCTCATCGTTCTCTCGTCGTTCCTCTCTCATCTGTCCCTCGTCACTCTGTCCCCCTCGTCTCTATTCGTCTCGTTCTCTGAAAGAACGCCATCACATCTAAATTACATACGATTAGTTAGCCACTTGGGTGTACCCTTCCACAAATACAATAGTCGACGGCGTCATGTTTCAAGCACAGCTGCTAAACCAACTTGTTCTACGAAAGAACTCTTATAGTCTCAATTCTATTATATCTCTATTCTTCTGTTTTCTGTCGTATTCGACACGTTGAATATTCAATTCATGCGATAACTATTCGCACCTATCGCACACGCCTTGCAGTGAGAAATCTCCACTTAACCGGGCCGTGTATACGTGACAGAATTAATTTCGATCGTCCCCCCCCGCCCGGAAAACTCTATTTCCGTAATTAGATTATGTTGGTTATACTGAAGCCCAATTTGCATGCATTGAGATAAAGCAAGAAATAATGTTATTGAATGATTTGATGCTAAAGCAAAAATCCGGCATTATCAAGAACGTAGGCCGCGTGCACGATGGTCGTATTAATAAAAATCCGACACGCCGGCCGGCCCCCCAGCCGCCCCGCGCGACCCAATGCAGAGTCGCTGCCATGGAGCAAGTTCTAGGCGCTAACGTCTCTTGATTATAAGATTGGTTACTTCTGCCGGATATATATAACGAATTCCCAATGAAAATTTGATTTTGTCGAAATCTACAGTGCGGTAGTTATCGAACGGTCGGCGTGTCGCGTCCTGGTTGATTACAGGTTACGGGCCAGTGAACTCATTAATGTAATTCTGTATCGTAATTGAATCTTTGTGTTTTCGTAGCGGCCAAGTCATGCACGCTGTGTTTTGCGTGTGCATTTGTAATGGCGCGGCGCGGCGGACAGGGTTTCCTGAGTCCGGTTAAAATGGGAAAGTCGAAGCTGTATGATTAAGAATCCACTCCATGCATCTACACAACTACACTGTCGTGTTTATTGTATGCCTGTGTCTGCGCACGCCAACGGGTGTGTGCATGTGTGTGCTGTGTGTGTGTGTGTGTGTGGTGTGTGTGTTTGTGTGTGTGTGTGCGTGTGTGGCTGCGTGTGTTGTGTGTGCTGTGTGTGCATTGTGTGTGTGATGTATGTGTGGTTAATGTGTGTGTGTGCTGTGTATGTGTGTGTGTGTGGTGTGTGTGTGTGGTAATGTGTCGTGTGTGCCCTGTGTGTGTGGTTCTGTGTGGTGTGTGTGTTGTGTGTGTGGTGTGTGTGTGGTGTGTGTGCTGTTGGTATGTGTTGTGTGTGTGTGTGTGTGTGTGTGCTGGTGGTGGGTGTGTGTTTGCGCGTATTCGTGCGTGCTTGCGTGCTGTGTGTGCGCGCGCACGTGTATGCGACGCGCGCGCACACGTGTGCGTGTACCTGCCCCCATGCGTGCACGTATGCACACTAGATCTACATGACATTCATTCGTCCTTTGCAGCCAACATGCTGGACGCGGCTATTGAGAAGCTCCGAAATGAGACGGGCTGCCCCTGCGCCGAGATCGAGCAAGGCAAGAGCGGCAGGGAGCTCTGCATCAAAGGTCACCGCAAAGGTTACGTGTTGGCCATCGCCATCGTACCGAGTATCATCAGGTGAGCGCGTATAGAATATGCGAAACGTAAATGAAATTGCGATATCGCGCCGCTAGAGGGGCCGTACGTCGCTCTCGCGCTAAGTCAATATTGTTACTGCGGAGTTGCCGAGTATAAGGGCGACAAAAAGCGCGACTAATTGGAGAGTGTGAGCTGCGGTCTGAATCACTGCGATAGCATACTATCTAGCACTTGTCCAGCACTCCATCTTGAGTGTACTCAAGTCGTTATCCTTCTTTCTACCGCCCGGATTGCAGGAAGATTGATGGCGAGAACGGTGACACGATGAATTCGTCATTAGAGATAAATGACACAACAGCGGCCTCGAGGTTTGTTGTTGACGAATATAGTCCACGATTTAGAGGTTTCGGTATGTAGTGGTCCTGCATGGCTGCTAACTCACGTCCGCATGTAGTACGATTTCAGTAATAACAACTGACGTTTCTGTCCGTCGGTGCAAAGATGGGCGGATTGGGTTGCAGTGTAAATGATTGCAATCCTACGCAGTCACCTAAAATCTACACCAATAACTAATCGCACAATCACTCTAGGAGCGTTGGTGGCTCCTTGACATCTACGACGGTTCTTCTAAGTGTTGCTAATCGCGTCTGTCGTGTTTCGTTCATCCATTAACATTACTTTTGTTGAAAGCTAATTTTATTCATGGTTATTTATTACTAACTACTAGTTAGATTTCAATGGCTATTTAACGTTACTGGTAACGATGTGGTGCATGCTGTCAAGAGCACGTCACACATTACACAAGTGGCGGTTCGTGTTCTGTGAAGTTTTCAATCAAAAACAAATTGTACAAGATTTGCTAGCAACAACTAGACTCTGTTCTGTGCTTAGTGTATGAACGCAGACGAACTAATAACGTCCTTTATATCGAAGTCGTTCGTTTGTCCGCAAGCTTAGTCAAACGATAGATAGGAGAGCTGACAAGCTAGGATAGAAGGCAACAGTGACTGTGAGCGAAATAATTCTAACGAGCCTGCCTGCACTCATTTGATCACTATCCCTACAGACGACGTACACGATAAACCGAGCTTAGTTCACACAGGAACGTTAACATGAAAATGATTAAACTTGCTATATCGCCGCTCGACTATATTCGTCGTGACTGTGTGGCCAGCGTGATATTAAAGGCGGAACGAATCCAAACGTAATTAATGGATGCGCATTTATCTGGCGTGCGATCATGGAGAAATTCTGATGTTGGCTTAAGTAGTGTGTGTGTGTGTGTGTGCGTGTGCGTGTGCGTGTGCGTGTGCGCTGTGCGTGCGTGTGCGTGTGCGTGGTGCGTGTGCGTGTGGTATAGCATGTGCGTGGTGGTGTGCGTGGCGGTGGGGATTACAGCGGTGTGTCTGCGTTGAGTGTGGTGCGTCGTATGTGTGTGCGTGCGTGCGTGCGTGGTACGTGCGGGGTGGCAATCATGTGTTCTAATTTCCTGCGAGAATTGCGCAGAAAAATAAAGATGGCGGAGTTATATGAGCATTTCATTCTGCGAATAGCATTGCTAATTCTTCATGTAGGATTAGTATACTGAGCTTAATTATTTAACACGCCTTTTTGATGATGCTATATGAAACGATAACTCCTTGCGAAAAGCTCGGCACTTATTTCTGCGCGGGTAAATAAACAGCAAACATATTACTACCATTTCGAGAATGAAACTCGTAAGTTTTGTATACGCGGGGAGGAGGAGGAGCGTCTGGCGTGTTAACTAAATGTGCTGAGGATACTGTCAAACATATTGAGCTAATATAAGGGAGAGAAGAGGGGGAGCATAGAAGAGTGTGAGAGAGAGAGGAGATGAGACGAGAGAGAGAGGAGAGAGAGAGAGAGGAGAGAGAAGAGAGAGAGATGAGAGAGGAGAGAGAGAGAGAGGAAGAGAGAGAGAGAGAAGAGGAAGAGAGAGAGAAGCGGAGAGAGAGCGAGAGAGAGAGAGAGAGAGAGAGAGAGAGAGAGAGAGAGTGAGAGAGAGAATCCATACGGAAGCGAGCAATCGAGGCTTTCAACAGATCGCTGGTTTTGTTGTATCGCACGCGAATATGTGTATCTACAGTCCTATGTTTCTCTCTTCTGTTATATATATATATATATATAACGCGTTATACGGGACTTCCAGTGGCAGGGGGCATTGAGTAATACTGTTCATGTCCCCCCTGACGCAACCACATACGATCCGGCATCA